AATTAGTTTTTTATAAAACGATCTTTTGTTATGCCGTAATGCTTGCTTGTTAATACAATTTTCAGAAATTGGTTTCCAACAAAACATAGTAAAAATTATGGCCTTTCTAAGAGTTTATTTTTTATGAGTCTACGATCGTTGAAGACTTCGTAGCATTTGAAATACGTAGAAGGGTTTCCGAAAAAAATGTATAGTTCTATGCACCGATTGCACCGTCTACTGGCGCACCTAGCGGCTGTTTCATTGCAGTTAATTCTAACGGCGGCGGCGCTGTCCCGTCCCACTCTACGACACAACCAGTCGGTTCCGTCTCCTGTGGTACTGATAAAAATAGCACTGCCGAAATATAAATTAGCGGACTATTAACGTCGGCTCTACGATTCCGTATCGGGTCGAGCAATAATAATGATGTAATTATTTAATATTATAATTTGTTTTTGAACTCCTTTGTGTATACTCTACACGCGCGGTGGCTTACGTGCAATTATGAAAATACGTATACCTACTACGTCGACAATAATACAATTATTGTATTTTCAAGAGTTATAAAAACTATACAGTTATATCGGTCGTATATACGACGAATTCTATGAATCGTCTACTACTCTACTACTAATATATACAAATTATAAATATAGGTATATATTTTTGAACCAAAATAGTTTTGTTAGACTGCGGGCACCGGGGGGAACACTATGTCTTTATTCAGACTTTAGTAATCACTGATCAGTTTAGTTTTAACTTTCAATCTGTCACCAGCGTTTATTGGTTATACCTAAAGTATACCAGTATTAGTTATTACTTATTTGATTTTGGTGAATTTAAAAAATGGATGACCGTCGGAATGACAAAAAGAAGCGGCTAGCACCTTCAAGATGTCCAAGTATAAATAAAAAAAATTTAGTTAGACTTAATAACTTTAAGAAAAGAACAGTGACATGGTAAGTATAATTTAATTATCATATTTTAGTACAGTTTAAATACGTAGGTATATTTTAAATAGGGAAGCGGAACCTAGCACACCGTCGAATATTCACTTATTAGGAACTGATGAAATAGAATCTTCACCATCGTTTATGCAAGTTAAAATGGATTAACTACGTGTATTTTTATTTTAAAAAATAAAAAACCATTACGTTTTATTATTTATCTATAGAGAACCTATGCTAACTAGTACGCCAAAAATTGATTCTACGACACATTGCCCTAAAACGTCTTCGTTAGATACAGAAGCAGGAAGTAGCTTAGTGTTCGGTGTACCTTTATGTAATGTGACTGATGTCGAAAATCATCAATTATGTGTAGATTCGTCATCTGATGCTGATACAGTGATTTCTAAGTATATTAATTTATGTTGTGTACTGTGTACACTATCATCACTATTTATAATAAATAACAAATAAATATTTTTTTATCTATTATTAACGTATATAATTACTTTGTAGCGCTCTTGAAGGCAGAAGAATAGTAGACATATCTCACTTATTCGATCAAATTAAAAATACAGTTCACGATTCAGCATTTGGCTGTACTTTTATAGATATGCAATTTCAGTCAGAATGTAGAAGAGGATATACATCAGTTTTTTTATTTAAATGTAAAATGTGTTGTAAAAGTAGTTCAATTACTACGGAAAAAGATGTACCAGAAAATAGTTACTTACCAATAAATAAAGCGGTTGTTAGTGGAAGTTTA